CCCGTTTCTTATTTTACGCGAGCAGGGGGCCGGGTCTACTACCGCCCCTCACAAGTTTTTTTTTTTTTTTTGACCCCCATTTTTGGAGGTGCGCTGCATGCAGTGCGCGCGCGTCGTGCGGGATGCGCCGTGCGGCGCACGTGCGCAGTGCAGCGCATCGCGATGCGCCGCATGTATGATTTGAACGGATATCCCGAACGGCAAAATATTTGCCACTGTAGATTCTAGGCTCGGAAAAATGCAACTTTTGGTTTGTCAATTTAGCTTTGGATGGAATGTGGCTTAACCCCCAAGAAACATTCCATTAGACCATGTCCGAAAAGTCCCTGGCAGCCCATCTGAGCTGCCTGAACTAAATGCGTAACCCGGAACTGTAAGCTATGCTTTTTTCTTCCTAATTGAGTTCTGAGATGGTATGACTGATGGGCTTTCTCAGGGCACTCCAGTCCTTCTACCTTCTTCCCCCGAATACAACGTACGGTAATTATAGCCGTATTTGAGGCATCTTTCAGTCTAGATATAGCTATAATGACCGTATGTTGGATTCGGGGGAAGAAGGTAGGGCTAACCACGGCACTTAGGCGTGGGTTGTACTTTTTGGCGCATCCTCTGTGCTATGCCTGTTGGAGTTTGTGGCTGAGCAGATTTATGGTAAACTGATAGAGGCACAGAATACAACAGAGTTTGAGATTGGAGTTGTGACATTTGGCTGAAGTTGTTCGCTCTGGTGATGTGGTTCTCAGGTCATTGCAGTTTTGGGAAAGCTGGACATTCATGGACTTAAGCATGTAACAATGTGGACTCGACTGGCAGGGAGTGCACCTGCAGGGGCGCGGACGCTAAACCTCAAAGAACCAGTGGATTGGGACATAGGGGACACTGTGGTGATTGCACCATCACGTTGGGATCCCGATGAGTGGGAAAGAGCCAAGATTGCAAATGTTTCAGCAGATCGAAGGAGTGTGATACTCGACGAAGATCTGAAGTTCCCGCACACGATAAGTGGGCTGGATGTCAAGCCAAACACATCTGTGATCTTCAGCCCAGAGGTAAGGTGGCAGTCAGCTAAGAAGTGAAGATTCCTAAGAAACATTTCATATCGGTTTGTCTCTTTTTTCCTTGCCATGATGTTTGTTTGTTTTTTCCCCCCTCCAAAAAGGATCTTTATATTTAACTATCCTTCCTCTTATTCTGCCCAAATGTGCAAGGCCCCCAACCTATGGTAATCTTGTCAAAACACCACAGCTTCGTGGCACGCAACCCCTTGTTGGTCCACCCCACCTCCTATCCTCCATCCTGGCCCTCACATTGGTCCTCACCATTAACCCCAGGCCTAACTTATGTTCCCTCTTCCCTTAGACCAGCAGTCTCCAAGCCCCAAAGAGCTCGCACACGCCTTAATTAATGCTTTCTCCATTCCCCAACCCCCCTGTTCCCACGTGAAAATTTTATCAAACTCCTCCACCCTGAACACCCCGACTCTTTGATAAAATCTGTACCCACATTCCACCCTCCGACGGCCTCTAGCATAGGCCATCACAAACATTTTGACGTCTCCCCTCGACCTCCCAACACCAAGCTCGCTCCTTTGCCCTCCGCCCCCCCTCGGATACCAACCGGCCCCTAGCTCCGTTACCAAACCTTTCCCGCACCGCCTCCCTAGATTGCCATGTCATATAGCAGCCGCTGATATGGTTGTCAAGAGTGAGATAGTCTGCCATGTCAATCATTGTGCCTCCACCTTCCCCATATTCAACCCAAACACAATCCTTGTCACCCATATCCACCGAGTCACTGACACCTTTTCCTACAACCGGATATTTGAACGTGAATACGAGTACCCCTTTCCCCCTGTTCTTTGCCTTACAGATCTACAGCTTATTCAGAAAGAACCCAGTTTACTTGCTCCCAAATCCAAGATGGTGGCTTCAACGACATACCAACATCAGTATAATACAGTGGCTGCAGGTAAACAACAGGTCAGAAACCAACCAAACAATCCAGAGAATGGCCCAATAACGGATCATGTCGCATTGACATTTGTGCCATGTCGCATTGACATTTGTGCTGAAATCTTTTTTTTTTTTTGGGGGGGGGGAAGTGGGGGAGAACATGCTCCAATCTATTTGTGGGGAGCATCACGTGCTGGGAACCGGGCCAGCTTCCCTTACGAACATTTTTACCGATACCGGGGCCATTACCCGGCTTTGGCTGAGAACAACCAAACTCTCTGAACAAACTTTTTCACAATTAGCAGTCCTATTCCCCTCAGCTTATACACAGGCTACTCTGGAGCTGATATCCACTAAGAGGCCGGATGCCTTACAGAACAAACGTCTGAGATACCAGGACCATTACCCGGCTTTGGCTGAGAACAACTGAACTCACTGAAAAGCACAATTAGCAGTCCCCCTGTTCAGGCCATACAGAGACTATTCTGCAGCTCTTTTACAGACGGTTCTCTGCCAGGAGAACATCCTCTAATAGGCTGGATGTCAACTGCATGCCTTCCAGCTGTTGCATCCTTGCTGTGTCGTCTCGATGGCCTCAGCCAAATGCTCTTCTCTGTCCTCTGCGCTCAGATCGTGACTCAGATGAAAGTCCAGTCGTGTTACTGTCAGAAATCCAGTCCCTAATCACCAAACTAGTAACTAGTAACTACCTAGGCTACCAGCCGGGCCGCCCAGGTCACCCTATTTTCCCGGGCGGCCCGGCCGTGCAAGGAATAGGGAAGGTCCCAGCCAAAAAAAAAAAAAAAAAAAAA